TATATAGTTAATATAAATTTTTAAGTATAAACCTCAATGATTAAGTACGCAGTGATGAACTTACCGATCATAATTAATAATAATCTGTTTTTATTATTAATAAGTTTAACCCCTCCGTACTAAATTAAAATTATACTACACATAGTAAGTAAGAATAAGTAATGAAACTTCTATCTAGTATCTACATACATAATAATTACAATTATAATGTAGGTATCTTTTTTCTTTTTATTATAATACATAGAAAAGCAACTGTTTTACTACTGCAGTTATTTAGTAATAGTTAACTTCTATGCTATTAGTACTTTCTTGAATATTTTCCAACGGTACAAATTTATTAAGTTAAACATGTTTTATATTCGTCAACAAAACCTTAAAAGTAGGATCTTAACGACGTTCTGTTGTGTTTTGGATAAGCAGCTGAATTTAAATACATCTATTACTTCCTTTGTGAAAATTCACGCCGCATTTGTGTTTTGGGTGTAATATTAACATGTTTTTACGTGGTTAGGACCCGTGAAACATTCGCACCCGTGACTCTACATCATAAAACTCTTCGAGGATTGTTAATATTGGCACTTTAGCCGATACTGTTGTTGCGAGATATCGAAGCGTGAAGATTTCTTGTAGACACATTAAAATAGCAAATGGTAAATTTGTGAAAACGTTTTTAAACGTATAAACATAAGTGCTAATACGCGATGACAGTTGTGGTAATACTTGGCGATGGTTCCGTAAATTTTATCAATAGCATTATCCAAATTTCACGGCAGACTTATTTGTTTTACTCTCTTAGTGATAGACAGAAAAATTCGCGGTTAAGTTGTGAATTTTAACAAGACGAATATCGGGTCCTTTGATTTCAACATCCTGCTGAGTTTGAATGGAGACTTATTTAGATGCGGTTATATTTAAGTATCGGTTGCATTATAATTTCATTAGTATATACATTTGTACTTCGAATATCTTTATATTAGTTGATATTAATATAACTACAGCAGATATGCATATATCGACGGTATGCACATTTTATTTTATTATATACCTGTATTACGCTACAAAACATTGCACCTAATTTACTCGTAAGTAACGATTTTTAAATCTCACCGCGAGTTTTTCGTTTTAGAGTATTCTCAAAAAAGTAACTGTTAGGCAGTTACTATTATAAGCTAGATTTAATTAGAGAGTCAGCAGTAAGCAGCTTTAGGTATATTACATAGACTACTCTTAAAATTGAACATTTACTAATATGTTTCTTGAGTTATACAATATTTATTCTAGAATTATGAAAGAATTTCTGAGGATATATGTTTTGATTGTTTCTTATAAATTGCTCCATTACCTGATCCAAGTATTGAAAGTTTATTGAAATTCTATTTTAGAGAAGCAATAAAAAGACAACAAAATATCTGGAGTCAAAAGTTACACGTTAGTTGGACAATATATTGCGATTATTGTAAGAGTAACGAATTTGTAAGAGTTTCTGAAACGTTCCAATGTCCTAAGGTCCATCCAGCACAATAATCCCGCAGCTGTGACGGAAGGTAAGTCAACATCAATGTAACGCGTTACGAACCGTGACATCAGTCGCGAAATCGAAAAGCCGTTGCGGATTTATCAATGCCTACAGACTTTAAATCAAAGGACATGTGTTTGTAATGCTGACACCCGTTCACCGAGACGAATCTGCGAAGAAAGCCCGTGTAAATCCTAAAGAAATAACCGAAAAACCGAAATTTTTCTGCGATTCGATACAGCGTCGCGATTTCACGGTGCCCTATTACTGTATCCTGTCAAATAATGTTCTTATTCTAATTTGTACCTTAAGCTATACGGCGAACGATCTCAAAAAGTTTGGATAAGATTGTATAAGAGTACTTTGAAGTCACAAAATGACACGAAGGAAGGTGTTGCAGACTTTTGTGCGGCGTTATAGTCGAATCGGAACGAATCGAACATAGAAACGGGATCGATTTATCATCTCTAAATGCTGGCCCGCAGTTTTCTTTATTCTCAATAAATGGACATCCCTTCAAATTGTGAAATGTCACGTATGCTTGGCGGCTTTTTGACACGTAGCTGGGTTTTGTGTATTGTTAACGTATGTAACTTACAGGGAGGTTTTCCTAAAGTAACAAGAATCACGAGTACCTTTTGTTTTGATATTCACTAAGTATAATCTGTACGACTAAGTAATGTACGTATATACATACTGTAATGAATCCGTAGGTAGAAAAATAATATATTTGTATTCTGTCCATTTTTCACCTTTTAACGACTAAACAGCGGAACGTAAAAATATAATGTAGGTACTACGAGTGCATAGGTATTTTTATCTCCAAAAACGCATTTACAGGTACAACAGTGTTATAGTAGTTGAGTATAAATAGTTTATGGGTTACCTTTCAGTTTAAAGAGTAAGTATACTGCTATAGAGTAAAATATCAGGAGGTTCCTGTGTACTGCCTATTCCTTTCCACCGGGTAGGTTTTCTAATAACCGTTTATTTCAGTATAAAGATAATGAGATGACCGATGTAAACTTTGTACAAACTCGTCTGCATGGCTAGCTTTATGTCATTTATTTCAGCCGGCAAACAATTTTGCTTGTAAGCTCTGACTCTGTCTATGGGTGAGATAAGGCAGTGAGATCATAGGTTATGGAGATATGACATCTACTCGTAAGTCCTTCGATATGACGACACATGAGGACGACGTACCACGAAAGTCACATAATGGCGTAATGTGTAATGCTGTTGATCTATATAGACGTCGGATTGCCATAAGATGGCAGACAACCTCTTTGCCATTGCAGTTCTATATAAAAAAATATATATAAACTATCTCAGGCCAACACACATAGCATCCTCTAGTACCAAGCTAAACAGAGCTTGTGTTGTGGGTACTAGACAACTGATAAAAATTCTTAGATTCTTTTTGTAAATACATACATAATGTACATAGAAAACATCCTGACCGACACAAACAACCATATTCGCGAATACATGAATACAAATGTTTGCACCGTGCGTGCAATCGAACCCGAGGCCATCGAAGTAAACCGATGTGCTAATCCGCTAGATCACCGAGGCTGTCGACTAGTGTTTACTATATTAAAATAATGTTATCTAAATATAGTAAAAAGTATAAATATTATAAAGTTAAAACACTGTTGAAACACTGTACTCTTCCACTCCAAAAACTTACATCACGTGACTAGTTGCAGTTGTAAGATATATGCACTCTTATATAGATTTATCCCTATGATCTATATCAAATCATTTTAATTGAATTCGAGTAACTCTTTCCCACGAAGCACGTGGTAGCACATTGTAATTATAAAAACTGATTTTATCCATATATAAAAATCTCCTGTCGCGGTGTTGGTTGCCACACTTACGTAACCTAGGATTGTAGATCTGAAAATAAGTTGTTATGTGCTTTTATATCCCTAAGCGATAACGGTGGCCTACCTGAATATTTTTTTGTTTTTATTTTGTCAATTTTTTTTCTTATGTGGTATTAAAAATATATACTTCTAAATTTTAACTCTTCACCACTAACTCCTATATTTCTATTTAATTTATTGGGTAAACAAAATTTTCCGGGTCAAGTAGGCATAAATGAAACATAAGTAAAAATATAGATGAGTTAGACAAGTTTATGGACATAATATTGACATCTAGTCATATTTTTCCATATTTAAATGACCAGTTTTAAATGAAGAATATTGCTCTTACTCACTTGTATTTAATACAAAATTATTATTTTAGTAAAGTACTACACACAGTAATAATTTTGTATTAAATGATGTATTAAAAATTAATGAAAATATATCGATAAATTTGGACAAAGGTGTAGTATGAGAATTAGTCAGGAGTGAAGTGGGTATTGAGTGTTGCTGACTGAGCAGCAGGTAAATACATACCTACAGATACAGAGTATAACAGTACTTGTATCAGTAGTAATCAGTACTATATTTCTTATCACGTTATACAGACAGTCACAGCATCACTACACGTGCTGATCTAAAACTGTACTAAAAGCTAAATCCTCGTTGAGGGCAAAATATTTTGGGTTTGAAATATGTGGTGGTGACATATTTTTAATATTGTTTCAATATTATAGGTGGTTGCATTTAATTAATACATTACTTTTATTATTATATATATAGGTAACTCCATTTTTTAAATCAAAGTGATTTTTTGCGTAGTTAAAATTGTAATAATTTATCCATATATGCTTTTTTGTCAAATTATTTTGCACGAAATAATAATATGTACTTCTAATTAGTTCAGTTGGGAAGAACTTTCTAGAAACTTAACTGAAAATTATATTTTTTAAGTGGTGTAATCGTTCTCAAGTAAATACATGAGGTTCCAGTGTTTATAATCTTATGGAAATGCTTTGATAGTAGTAACTAAATTATAACATTGTAATTTAGTAGCCTGAAGTCAAAAACTCAAGACTTCAGTTATCGCTACCGTGATTAATGATACATATTGATGTGAAATAATATATTACCATAGTAAGTAATATAGGTAAGTGATAAACTTTTGAACAATGTTATATACGTACACATATAGTTGTATTTTGTATGAGTCACTGTTTGAATTTTGCTACTTATGTGGTTCTGCATATAAAACAGCTTGTGTTTTTCTATTTCCAATGTGTTTTAGATCTTTTGAGATATTTACACGTCTAAGTTTTAATGAACTTCATATAACTAATGAAATTATCATATTACATAGTATAAAATAAAGTTGCTTCCACTGTTCGTTTAGATCTATTAAACTATGCAACGGATTTTAATGCAGTAGTTTTTAGTCTACTAAATAGATAGATATATACTCTATCTATCTCTAGATAGATAGAGTATTCAAGAGGAAGTTTTATATGTATAATACATGTACACCCATGCGAAGCTGGGGCATGTAGCTGTTAATTAAGAAGGCATCAATGAAATGGGATAAAAATTAAAAGAATGAGTTTTATTATCAGTATATTTATTTAGACATGGAGATCAAATGAAAGTCTTGGTTATCCTTAACGTAATCAGTCTAAAGCTTAATCTATTAACTAAATTACTTAATTAGTACATTAAAACAAAGTTAAGTCTAAGAAATTGACACAATTGGAAGAATTCATAAAATTATAAAAAGGCATTTACAGCTAACATCGTTAACTACAATAATATATAAAAACTAATACTAATATTATTTATAGTACTTATAAAACATTAAGATTGGCACGTTCGGCCCACTTCTGCATTATTTAAAAGTAAGAGTCCAAAATTAATACATGTATAACATGATACTACAGATAATTAAACCTAGGACCTAAAAACTATTAAAGCTCTTTTGTGATATGTTTCAATGACATCTACGTTGTTTTACCGAGCATCCCAGTGAAGTAATACTAAATTATCAAAATCAAGCTAAACTATACAATTTCGATTCTTAATTTAAAAATAAATCATAAATATAAAGTTAATATATTGATATTGATCATTAACATATTCTCCGAGATACTCAGTATAGTTACAAACTAACTGTAATGTTTAGAAAACATATTTCATAATATAAAATCTTCTTAAACTAATTAAAGCTTCGATACAATAATTCCTAATATCACAGACAACATATAAAACTCTATTAAAGCTAGTGGAAGACATTGGATCCTTAAATCTAAGATACGGAAAAGAAAACATTAAAGGTTACATTGTAGGTATACAAAATAAGTTCAGGAGAGAGCCGTGAGTGGTGCAATGATAATTACAGTGCAGATGATATTAAAGCTGTCTACCAAACTTGCTGTTTACTGTTACAAACAAACTATCGTGGAAAAGACACAACGCTTCATCTATAAATGTAATATGCTAATAGAGATCAAAGTATATAAGCTAATATCACGATTAACTGTACACATTGTGTCTCCTCCACTTCTAAACGCGAGACTTGTTTGAGCATAAATCTTTTAACATAGATACAATAATGATATGATATTTAACATTTCCATTTATAGCTACTGAATGTTAAGAGACTTCTGCCAAACTAAATCACTTCTAAGTCTAATGGAAGACGTTGGATTTGTGCTCCTTAACAAGCACACACTAAATCTATCATTGGAAGACATGATTTTGTTTCACTGTATTTTAAAGCCGAAATTTAAACTATTTTGCGAAGGAAAGAAACTATTGGAATTCAAACTAATAACAAAGTTTACATACGAAACAGTTCTTGCTAGCTGTGTAGCAGATTTCTCTGACTTCGTTGGCCATGTTGTCGCTAATTTCTGGTTCTTCAGAGATCAGCTCAAAACGGTTGGAGTTGACGATATTCTGATTTTCATGGTTATCATTGTCTTCCACTGCAGCCGGTTTGACCGGCTCCACGGGGTAGAAGAATTCGGTGAATGGCACCAAAATTGGTTCTTCAGGGTAAGCAGTCTTTTGCGATGGTAGGTCAGCGCGGGGAGCTGAGTTGGAGATAAGCTCTCCAAGTTTCGACCAGCACTTGTTAAGGTTCACACGCGTGGAGGATGTCACCTTCCGTGGAAGTCGTGGCTTTGCGTTCTATAAACAAAAAAAAATGTTAGGTTCTCGTACGATAAAACAGTATGTAGTTGACTTGGTAGAATATAAGGAAATGTAATGGTAAATTGATTACAATACTAATATTGTAATCAATTTACCATAATATTAGGAAATATCCAAGTGGTAAAAGTATGTAAATAACCGTCAATTCTTACCTGACGATTAAGCAGTTTAGCCCACGGCGAACGAGGTGAGACAACCTCCTTCTGCGGCGACGTTTCGTCCTTAGCCAAGCACATGTTTACTAATATTTACGAACTTAGTCTAACGAATTAAACTACGTATTTACAAGGTTATGATAGAGGACAGAGCGACACGAACGCACGGTCGTCAGTCGGGAATGAATGATTCAGGAAGGGCGGCGGGCTTTATATAGCGTTTCCCCTCTACGTGGCTGCGCGTGCCCTGGAGCGGGGCGGCGCGCGCGCAGCACGAGCGGTAGCGCGCGCCTACGAACTGGTTTTTACGGAGAACTTCTACGAATAGAGGCTTTGACGCACCGCAACGTAGAATACTTACTAGATTGAGCCGGCAAAGCTTTATTAATGACTATTATTAAATTTTAGATTAAACTGATTCTGTTTGTATGGTGTATGAATAATATTTATTTATACCGGTGCAATGATATAATCTAGTTCATTGTTGTACATACAATCAAACAGACTACACGTCGCAATCAAATGATATGCGGAGTCATCTACATAAATATATATGTTTGCGTCGTACCTATCGATCTCGTTGGGTATCCTAAGGCGATTTGTAAGAAAATAAACAGTATCTCAGTAGTATGAATCATGGAGCAGCTGGCCGGTGGATAGATAAAGTTCCTTAGCATATTTATCTTACCTACTTGGACTATGTGGCTTCCTGCGATATAATCGTTGTACACCACTCGCAAATCACGCCCGCCGCTCTGATAAATCATTACCTCCGGTCTCTTGAACACGACTTGTTGTTACAGCAGTAGATGAAATTTGATATCGATGTATGCAAATTACTCTAACATTTACCTATACATTTATTATTAGGTAAAGACGTACTATTTCACCCAGTAATCAAATCGAAGTTTTCAATTTTGATTCAAATATGGTTTTGGAAAACCAAAATAATAATTATTACACAGTAATTTGTATCACTCTATGTCAAAAAATATGATTGTGTTATTACTGATTAATTATAGGTTTATGACATTGTTAAATTACTTATTTGTATAATACATAATTATAAATATTAATTTATATAGTAATAGTAAATAACAATATTAGTAAACGAAATATCGTGGTATTTCGTAAGTAAATGCAGAATCATTTGCATTTAATACAGCATTACAATGTTTAAATTTGTATTATTGTATTTTGAACAAGAAATATAATTACATTGTTCACTTAAAACAAATATCCACTGTTAAGGAAGTACGTTTTCATTATGTTTACAACATCTTAATTCAATTTTATTAAAATACAGGTAGTAACCTGTATTTTAAAAACTGCTACGTATTTTGTAGCCCATGTAGTTTAAATATAAAAAAGCGCCTCTACAGCTTTGTTACATTATTGTTACATTATACACTAATATTATTATGTATGTCACTTTTAAAATTAATTATGCTAAGTTAATTTTACATACTGACAACCATTAGTGTTTGGTATAAGCAAAGAATAAAAAAAGCATTATACAAAATAAACTACCTATTTGTCTGTCTAACGTTAGGTACATTAGACAGTTAGTTTATTTTGTGTCGTGCTTTTTTTATTTTTTGCATATAACTCCTTGCGGGGTAATAGATAAACAAGTTCCCATTAAATTCTACCATTAAATACAAGTCTTGTTTCATAAATGTTCATAACTCATCTTAAGCACATATACCAGTTACTTTATTTTACTGGAGATTGACTTCTGGAGGAGTCAAGATATCCCCAAATCTCTGGTGAAACAGATAACATTTAAGTACTAATATAACATATTAAATTGCAACAGTTTTAAACCCACCATGTTTAAGCAAATAATGAAATAAATATGCGTATTTAATTATTACGGAATTAATTCAAATGGCATTTAAAAATATCCAATAAGGCGAAGTCTTTAGTATCCAATTACGGTTTGCGCCGTTAGCCTCAATACAGCTTCTGAAGTTAAACATTATATATAACTACTTGATTATAATACTTATTTATTTGAATTCGTAAATATTCAATTAATACTTTATGACTAATAACATTTAAATGTTTATTTTTCTTAATGAATTCAAATAGATATGACTTTTGAATTTAAAATACTAATTTCAAATTAAAGTTTTATTTGAAGCCTTTTGGTTAAACGACTTATAAAACATAGAAGACTAAGAATATCAAAGTATAAAACATAGTATATGTAATATAGAGTCATTCGAATGGCCGCTGATAAATCTAACCATTTGCAGTTTAATAAAATAAATCGATCACCATAATAATATTATAAATTATTGATTACAAAAACAAAGGACAAATTAAGAATCTGTAGGTAATAATTGTTCATACTAATTAATATCGGAATAAATTTATAATAATAAAAAATATATTATGATATGGCTTATAATTATTTAATTAAAATATTTTATATGAATGAAATAATGATTAAATAATTATTATCGACAGCTTTTTAAATATACTGAGTAGTCTAATAGGAATATGTGGAGTGTAGAAATGATTAGAGATGTATTAAAAACTACCTACTATTACTTATTCTGTAACAATGTTTAGAAATAGGTGTTTTTAACAAAGTTTATATTTATAGTAGAATATTATCATTATTATACTGTATCATTAAATGATACATTAGGATCTGTTTTAATGAGATATTTCCAAGTAAGACTGATCTTATTAGATTTTTGTTAATCGAACGCGATTAATCCAATACGACGATACCAATAGTGTATAGTATAGTGTATTTTATAATCTAAAAATATAGATACTACTATATTCGTATCTATATTTATACATTTCATCTGTTACTGTAATGATCAATATTACGATTAATTAACGGCCTTATTTCCAATAGAAGTAAGTGTTCGATTCCTTGGTACAAATATTTGTATTCATAAGTATGATTGTTTGTATCGAGAAAACACCCAGTGTTTTCTATGTATGCATTAAAAAAAATAAAAAACATGTATATATTTATATCAGTCGTCTAATTGAAAAACTTGATTAAGATTCATCTCATCAATCCGTCGCATCGAAACGATCTGGCATCGAAAGCCGTAGTAACCGATATGCTCTCAGAACATTTTTACACATAATACTTTCATTAAAAAGAAAAAGAAAACGTTAGACCACAACCCGACCACGTGCAGTCAACGAAAAAGAAAATAAAGATAGACAATTTTTTTGCCGCGTCCCCACACTGGGTAGTCGGGTAGGGTTACATAAAATGGAACGTTAACGTATCAAAATGTGCTTTATGTCCGTACTTATGAAATACCTCGTGGCTGTGTGTGTGAAGCGTGCTTTACACACGACTAAAATACTAATTGTTGACTTGAGTTTAGGGGTAACTTTTATGGTGTTTTCAATGGGCTGTATTGCTATTCAAGAGGTGAAAAGATTTTAATTATATACATTACAATGTCTTGGTGATTAATTTAAATACGTCTGAACAATATTTTATGATTTTTATTCATTGTGTTCGTGATTTCTTTCACATACCTACAATTTGTATCGAATTCATAATAAATACATATTATAAATGAATTTGTTTAAAATAACAAATGATAATAATAGTTCTGTGATAACACCGTAGTATCTACGTGTTGTGTACTCCTATATAAATAGTTCCCTGAAAAATAAATAGTTTTATTTTTACTTAATAAACCTTATGCCTAATTGCGAAAAATATATATTGTGTTGGATAATACTTTTTTAGATATTCGGTCTCCTACATACCTAAATGAACAGCACTCCGGTAATCACGTTATCATATGACACCCATGATACCGCTCATGCGTTGCCATTTTGGAGAACTAAGATGTCATGCCTATTATCCTATATAATAACTACATTATTTCGTCAGAAGCATAATTTATAGTGTAAGTTGCTTGCCAGCTGAAATAGGGGGAAATGAAGTACCTAGGCAGGCGACATATTACACTCTATATCGGTATTATATTTACCTTGTGTATGTTTGTGAAGAATAAATAAATTTCGATCAATGGTGACAACGCTTACTTCCATACTATGAATCAATAACAGCCTGTCCAATTTAAATAAAGGGGGGACGTTAATAAAACAATCACGCGCGTAGATAAGTGCACGTACGCACGACACGCGACTTTACTCATTTGACGGTCGCGTCCGTTCCACAATGGTTAAATTCCGACGCAACGCCGATGCGGGCGATGGGGCTGCTTTGTTACAGACGTGTCACGGCCAATATGGAGGGCCTGATAAAAGTGACAGATCGGTAATTGAATATATGGGTCTGAATTCGCAATTTTATGCCCCCGTTTATTTTAACACAATTACAGACATCATTGTAACAGAAATCATTTAAACAGTTATAAATTAGGCAAATGATAAAGATAGTGTAAATGCAACTATTATTTTGACTGAAACATGTTATGGGACTGTGAAAGTCTCTGCTAAGACCTAACGTTCTATCCCGGAAACTAATTCAGATTCAAAGACATTGTATTGCGTTTTCTGAGTTTTCTCACAACTTTTTATACTCTTGAATTGTATACAATAGCTAATTATTAATACCATATTTGTATATTGCATATCTATGAACAACTAGCATAATTTATTATTATTTATTTAGTTTAATAAAACGGTATGAAAATGATGATGATGTCGTAAATCTAAAGAAAGTTTATGAAAATACTAAGTAGGTAGGTAAGTATATCCTGCCTAGTAAATTCATTATTCGTATTTTGTCTTGTCACTACAAAAATAGGTATATAATTTAAACTCAAACCATTATTTATATTGTTATATTCAATAAAAAATAGGATATTATTAATATAGTTCTCTTAACAATCGATCTCTTAACGTGTATTATAATTTTTTTTTTAGTATTTACCTCTCTCGACGATTCGACTAGGTAGCACTAGGCGTGGTCACGAGGTGACTGGGGTACAGCAAAGTCAATTGATAGGTACTCGCAGTTTTTTCAACTATCGTTACTAGACTGTCTAAAGAAACACAAACGCATTTAACATTAACCATATACTTTCCTAAATCAGTGAAATAAAACATAATTTTATGCTTAATTGTTCCTGCATGTGGGTGCACATTCTGTGGGTGATTGACTATGCGTAGATTCACAACACGCGTTCCTTATTTAGATCCTGACAGTTT